GAAGGAAGGTTGGGCAATCCTACTTCTGTAGTGATACTGCCTCGGAAACCCAAGGAGGGGTCGCTATGAGTCGGGTTTGACTCGATGGCACATAACAACAACAACAACAGACCCAAGAAGTATCTTATCAAATCATACCAAATAAAGCCTAAAATAACACTAACCAAACCAAAATAGCCCACTGCCATCAAGTTGATTCCAACTCATAGACACCCCCTTTGGGTTCCTGACCTGGCAAATCTTTATGGAAGAAGATTGCCCCATCTTCCTTCCGTGGAGTGGCTGGTGGGTTTGAACTGGCAACCTTCTGGTTAGCAGTCAAATGCCTTAGGCACTGCACCACCAGCGCTCCTTAAAATAATACTAACGTATGGTAAAAACAGGAATGCTATGACAAACACACAGCCTACATAAAGTAGAAATAATGTAGGTACAGCGTAGTTCCTGGGCAGGAGCTTAGCGATGCCACTCTCGCTGCTCGGGGTGTGCGCTGCCTCTTGAATGCTCACTGCTAAAGAAACGCTGAATGCTGGTTTCACGTTTCTCATTTTTTTATAAAAGTGAAAATGCTCTATGGATTTCTTTTGTTAGTGAAAACAGGTACTAATGTGGGTCTTCTGTAGAAGTGAAGTCGTGTAAAGCAAACTTACAAAAAGTGGGGAAGACACTTGTATGCAGAAACACAAGTTGAGCAAAGCTCAACAGATTTCTTTATTGTAATACTTCTTAGATCCATAAATGTGGATGGATATACGCTGTGAATTGCCGCTGGAGGTATTAGCAAGCAGTGTTTCCTAACCTTATCTCCTCCCCAGAACAGACCCCTGACACTAGACTCACAACCTCCAGTGACCTTCTGGGCTAGAGGTCAGCTTCATCATTGTCATCATCTCAACGGCCCCTAGAGGTTTAACATCTGATGTGTCCCAGGGGCCAGGCTTGTGTGTGATGCACTTCAGCTCACTGAATCCTCGTGACACCCCTGTTAATTATTTTATAAATAAGGAGACTAAGGCACAGGGAGGAGCTCTGGTAGCGTAGTGCCCAAGGCACTTGACTGCTAACCAGAAGGCTGGCAGTTCAAACCCACCAGCCACTCCTTGGAAGGAAGGAAGTAGTGATACTGCCTTGGAAACCCAAGGAGGGGTCACTATGAGTCGGGTCTGACTCGACGGCACATAACAACAACAAGGCACAGGGAGGTCATGTGACTCTCCTGAGGTCATACAAGAGGCTCAGACAAATCTGGGGTGCCTTCTGGGAGACCCTGAAATGACAGTCCTCAACACAGAGGCTTTTTCCTGTCCTTGATACTGGGCAGACTGCAAAGGCCCACTCAGATGCCCCACTCAGGGAGTCAGAGGCCATGCAGGTCCCCGTCCCTGTGTAAGTCCAAGGAGAGCAGAGGTGGCCCTGGCTCTTCCTCTGGCATTAGCATGAGCTTCGCCTCCTTCCTTGTCCCCTCTCCATGAATGACTGGCTGGTCCTTGACCATGTCACATATCTATCAGGAGTTCAAGGGCACAGACATGAAGTACCGGAACCGTGTGCGTAGCAGGATCAGCAATCTCAAGGATCCCAGGAACCCAGGCCTACGGCGGAACGTGCTCAGCGGGGCCATCTCCCCTGGGCTCATTGCCAAGATGACAGCAGAGGTGAGGGCCAGGCTGGGCTTCTGCGTGGATGGGCGGGAGGCTAGGCCCCTCTAGTTTTGCTTCAGAGAGGCAATGGCTTGTGACTCAGTGATGAGCGAGGGGGCTTTTTGAGCTGGACTGTCTCAGTTTCCCCAGCAGCTGTCTTTTGTGCCCAGCCTCCTGCACTGAGGCAGCCCCTCAGGGCTTCTGGACCATCAGGATTGTCCACACAGCTAATCTGCATTAAGCTCTGTGCTATACTGAGTGCTTTAAGTGCACTGGCCAATTTCATCTTCACAACAACTGAGATGGAAACATTATTATACCGGTTTACAGATGAGGACACTCAGGCTCAGAGGACTTCACTGGTCCATGCATACAGCTAGAAAATGCTGAAACCAGGAGGCAAGCTGAGTGAGGCTTCACTGCTTTGCTATATTGCCTCCCTCGTCAGTCTTGTTCAGTCCTGTATCCTGTACCAAGCTCTGGACACAGCTCAGAGTGAGAGTCCCTATCTCCATGGAGCACTTCCAGACTGGGGAGACAGACATGTTTACAAATAAGTATAATACAGAGATGGTGAGAACCATGGTAGAGCCACAGTGGGAACTCACAAAAGGGGGTCGGGGGTGTTGACCAAGCAGGGAGGAGTCAGTCAGTGAGGGTCTTACACAAACGGAAAGGGAATGACCCTGTTTGAGGCAATATGTGCAGTGGTTAGAAGCTTGGGTTTGAATCCTGCCTTTGCCACTTAATAGCTCTGTGATCTTAGAGAAATTACTTAACCCTCAGTGCCTCAGTTTCCCATCTGTAAAATGGGGATGATAATAATAGCTATCTTATGAAGAATTAAATCAGTTAATATATGTGAAATGTTTAGAAGATTAATATGTATAAACCTCTATCCTCAATTAGTATGACAGGTCCATTCACCAGCCATTTCATGTAACCTTACCACAATATTATGAAAGAGGAAATATTATCCCCATTTTGTGGATTATAAAACTGAGGCCATACGCAACTAGTAAGTGAGAGAACAAAGGTTTGAACCTCGCTCTGTTTACTTCAGAGCTCACATCTTAGAAAGCCCTTTTGCACATCCTTGGGTTTGGCTGGCTCTTTACTGCCAGAGCTGCCTCACGGGACTCCCTCCCAGAGAAGCACCCAGAGATGGAGAGGAGATTATAGAATGGAAATGGCTCTGAGAAAGGAGTGGAAATGCCTTAGGCTCCTGGAGTCTAGGGCTGGGCCTTGGGGTGTCTGGGATCCCCCCATAGCTACTGGCAGTTTGCTTCTGTGTGTATGTGTGTGGAGTATGTGGTGTTTAATGCATGTGATATGTGTGTATCTGAAGCATGTGTGGTGCGTGTGTTTAATGTATGTGGGTAGAGTGTGGCGTTTGTGTGTGTGTATGGGGAGTTTTTGTGATATGTGTGTTTAGTGTATGTGTACATATATGGTGTATGATGTGTGTAGTGTGTGTAGTCCTATTTGCTTGGTGTATGTGTGTCTGTATAGTGTATATGTAGTGTATGTGGTGCTTGTGTGATGTGTGTGTGTATAGAGTGTGATGTGTGTGGTGTGTGTATTTAGTGTATGTGTGTGCTGTATGATGTGTGCAGTGTTGTGTGTAGTAATATTTTTTGTGTGATATGTGTGTTGTGTTTAGTGTATGTGTGTGTGCTGTATGATGTGTGCAGTATTGTGTGTAGTACTAGTTGTTGTGTATGTGTGTGTACAGCATATATGTACTGTATTGTATATTATGTGGTGTTTGATGTGTGGGGGGAGTATATGTGATATGTGTGGTATGTGTGTTTAGTGTATGTGTGTGTGGTGTATGATGTGTGTAGTGTTGTGTGCAGTCCTATATGTGTGTGTATGTGGTGTATGTGTAGTACATGGTATGTGTATGTGGTGTGTGTATGTGATGTGTGTGTATGTACATTTTTCTGAGGAGAGGGTTTTTGCTGCTTTCCTCAAATACCTAAAACAACAAAGAGCCCTGGATTTAGGATAAAATAGGGAACTTGGTGCCAAGTCGACCAGGGTTATCTTTCTGCTTTATTTAAAATAACTGTCCTTTTGAAGCAACTAGTGATGTATGCAACAAATTGCAAACTGGCTTTATAGTGTGTTCTCCTTCCCTGCAAGTTGTGACTTTCTGGAAATCTAGCCTTGTGTTTCCTTCTCTCTGTCCTTCTTTGGCTCTGGGGTCCCTCTACTTCCTTGTGTGTATGTTGTGGGGGATGATATCAAGAGATTGTCTTACAGCCAATTCCAGAGGCAGGTTGGTAAACCAGACACAGGAGAACCAAGAGGAAGGTGTAGACACAGTTTTGAGCCAAACCAGGAAGTTCCTGGAAGCTGGAGATTGAAGCAGAGCTGGGCACCTGAATTGGGACAAAGACAGCCCCCAGAAGTCCCAGTAAAGTAGCTGGTCAAGCCAGAGAATCAGATGATCAACCCATGGCCAAGAGGGGGCTGTCCAAGGGAGAGTGCAAACTGGCGATCCACAGAGACTGCAGGGCAAGTGGCCAAGGACCTCCTCAGCCAGCAACCAGGCAACATTTATCCCAGGATCACCTCTTGACCCAATAAGAAAAATAACAACTGGGGATCAGGCTGCTGGCTGGTTCAGAGGACAAGGGTACTTGTTCATGTCTGGGAGAACGTTGGAGAGCAGATGTGAACGTCGGGGGGACATCTCTCCCTGCATCCCTGTTTCCACGATTCTCCTTCTGTGTCTATTTCCTTGTCCACTGGAATCTCTCATGCTTTTTCCTTCCCTCCCTACCCAGACATACCAGAAACTGGAAGAGATTCTGAGATATAATTACACCTGTTGAGTGGACATACTAGACTGTCACCTCCATGAGGGAAGGGGTTTTGTCTGTTCACTGTTTAGCCAGCACTGAGAACAGTGCCTGGCACAACCTAAGTGCTCAATAAATATGTAGTAAGTTCACATCTGAGGCCTTTCCCTGGCAGTGCATATAACTTGAGGGTCCAATATCATCTCCTTCCTTACTTCCCTCATATTATATCTTATTTATTATTATTACTTATTCCATGAATGGATGGTGGTTAGGTGAAGGATAGATATTTCTGTTCTCTATTTCTTAGCTGATATACAAAGCCTTCCTTCTACAATCTGACTTCCAGCCATGCCTTCCATATTCCTCACCTTGACCCATCCTAGTTATTCTTCCCCAAACATGCCATTCTTGTTCTCTGATCTTTTGTATCTACTATTCTGTCTGGAATGTGCCATTCCCCTTAGGAACTCCTGCTTAACTTTCTAGACTGGTTAAGATGTCACCTCTTTTTTTTTTTTACCCACCCCTAGACCCAAGCAGTTAGCTTAGTGCTTTCCCCTGCACTTTGGAAGCCTTTGCTTTCGTACTTCTTGCACTATCTTGTAATCTTGGATATGTTATCAGGAGGGACCAATCCCTGGAGGAGGACAGCATGCTTGGTAAAGTAGAGGGTCAGCGAAAAAGAAGAATATCCTTAATGAGATGAATTGACACTGTGGCTGCAACATGAGGCTCAAGTGTAACAATGATTATGAGGATTGCCTAGGACTGGGCAGCGTTTCCTTTGGTTATACATAGGGTCACTATGAATTAAAAGTGACTGAATGGCACCTAATAAGACTCTTCCAGATGAGCATTCCTTAGAAGCAGGATATCTGGATTTCTGAATGCTTGGGGCTTGGAGGCAGAGGTGTGCTAGAGCCTCCTACCAGTTCAAGAGAGCTTATCATATGCATCCGTTCCCACTTTATTCAGCTACATCCCATTAGCAGGTTGAAATTGGTCATGGTAGGAGTATTTACACCATGGAAACTGGCAAATGCTACAAATTAGGGCTCACTTACAATGCCTACCCCCAAGTCAGTTTATCAGCATGCTACTGCAATTAACAGCATTCAATAAATTGACACCAAATAAATTTTGAATAAATGAATGCATTATGCTCTATAAGATCCACCCAAATAAAACTAAGCTGCATTTTTTTTTTTTTTTACTTATATGGCCCTGGGTTGTTTTATCTATATACCCCTGCCATCAGTTAGGAACTAGCTCTTATATTTAAAACAGTAGGATTTAAACATTAGTCTGTACCAGAATAACTTGCAGGGCACTTGTAAAAATGCTAATTCCTAGGCCCTACCTTTATAGGTTCTGATTCATAGGAATCTGCACTTTATCAGGAAGCCCAACTGGTATTTATGCAGTGGTTGGCACATTAAAATCATTTGACCTTTATGCCAACTCTGTTCTCCATGGTTTAAAGACTAAGTCTATTGTGTGCCATTGAGTCAATTCCAACTCATAATGACCCTGTAGGATAGAGTAGAACTGCCCCATAGAGTTTCCAAGGCTGTAATCTTTACAGGAGCAGATAGTCAGGTATTTTCTCCCCCAGAACCACTGGTAGGCTCAAACCACCAACCTTTGGTTAGCAGCCAAGTGTTTATCCAGTGTGCCACCAGGACTCTTCAGGATTAAGTATAGTTATCAGTGATTAAAATGTTTAGGTATTTCTGAATCTTCACTTTAACATTAGCTTCAGCCATTCTCCTTCCTGCTCCCCCCCACTCCCACCCAACGCCCCCCCTAAAATTGAGAGCTGCTCTTCAGTTTGAGTTTCCTTCTCTGCTGGACTCGGCAGACGTTAAGGGGAGTCAAACAGCTAGGGAGATGGACAGAGGGGGGAAGGACCTGGATAAGGCAGACACTCGGCATAGTGCCTAAGGCATTTGACTGCTAACCAGGATGGCGGTTCAAACCCACCAGCCACTCCTCGGAAGGAAGATGGGGCAATCTACTTCCATAGTGACACTGCCTCAGAAACCCAAGGAGGAATCTCTATGAGTCGAAATCTACTCAATGGAATATTACAACAACAGTGTCTGCAGTATGCTGTTCAGGAAACAGAAGACCTTGTTCTGTAGGAACTTATAGAAAAAGATGTTCTGTGGTGCATTCACAGGTAAGCAATTGTGTGAGCCCAGGAGCTTCACGGTCCAGCTAGGGTCACGGTAATAGCAACAACTTAGGAAGAATTGAGACCAAGGTTTCCATTAGGCAGAACAGACTGGGGAGTGATCACACAGGCACTGACTGGTCCAGACTTGAAGCGGGGCATCATAGATCAGGGGGGCAGTAGTCAAGTAGCTCAAGCAGGAAGGTTCAGGCAGGTAAACTAAGGTCCTGGCCATCAGGGTAAGCATCAGGATCAAGGAAATGTGCACAAGAATGTTGAGCCTGGGGCAGAGTCTGCCTGCCTGCTGCACTCCTGTGTGTGCCCTACTGTGCTTGGCCCAGGCACAGCCTTCAGGTTTGACCTTCCATCCAGAGGCAGGATGGGATTCTGCAGGTACAGCCTTTTCCCAGGCCTTCCCTCCAGCTTCTTGTACCCAGTCCAGCATGTTCCCTCCTCTATTCAATCTTTCTAGACACTGGGTATGGGGCAGGGCCCCTGGGACCCCCTAGCCCTGAAGGGCAGACTCCTTTCTCTCCAGGAAATGGCCAGTGATGAACTGAGGGAGCTGAGGAATGCCATGACCCAGGAGGCCATTCGTGAGCACCAGATGGCCAAGACAGGTGGCACCACCACTGACCTCTTCCAGTGCAGCAAATGCAAGAAGAAGAACTGCACCTATAACCAGGTGTGTATATGGGGTAGGAGAGAAAGAGGACTGCAGTGGAGGAGGCCTGTCATGAAAACCACGGGGACATAGAAGTGGGAACCAGAGAGAAGCTTAGGGAAGAGTCAGAGGGGAGAAAGGGCTAAAACTCTACAGGCCACAGAAAGGAGGGTAAGCCTTGGTACACCAACATGATAGGCCCTTGACTCCTAGAATGTGTTCTCATGAGTGTAGGCTCACCTGGATATGCATCTGTGAGATCTGGCCTGCCCTGTGGTGAGAATAAGAGAAGCTACACTTAGAGAACACAGAACTTCTCAAGAGTCACATACAGTTGAAGGGAACTTAGCGATATGAAACCCAGCACCCTCATTTTTCACACACAGAAACTGAGGCCCAAACAATGGATGGGCTTTGCAGCTTTGCCTAAGGTGGTGCAGTTGGTCACTGGCAGAGACAGCAATAAACCTAAGCCTTTGGACTCTCAGATCCAGACTTTGTACCAACAATACAGCCAATATAGTCAGCAAAGCCTAAGGGTGAAGACCACACCCCTGGCACGGAGAGCTACAGAAGGCTGGGGTGACCCTCTCTCCAAAAGCCTTAAAACTAGAGAACTTTCTCCTATTTCTGGGTTGCACATGTTATGCCCTGGTAATACCAATACTGTTGGATTCTCGTTGGTGTCTAGTCATTCTAGAACTCTGTTCATTCTTCTGTTGTTAGGTGAGCAAGAGTTATCAAGAGCACCTACCTACCTGTGATGCTCTGTGGTTACAACAGAAACATAGGTCAGCCTTGCTATTCCAGGGGAGTGCCTCAGAGAATTCCCAGATTCAGAAATGTGGAAGTGTTTGTGTGGGCCCCTACTTCCTCCCAAGCATAGCACCATGTGGAGTCTCATGGTTCTTGGGCATTGCCTTCCTCTAGAAGTAAACTGCCTAATAGCAAAATTTTCTCTCCCACAGAGAAACCCCACAGTTAGCCTTTCTTGGGTATCTCGGCTCTGCAGTGACAAGGCTGTGCTGAGCCGTGTCCTCCTGGCAGGCTCATTAGTCGGGGGCCTTCTTCCCACAACACCAACTCCTAGCTGACAGTGTCATAGAGGAGTGTCAGTAAAGTAACATGTTACAGCCATCCATGGTTATTTGTAGAGAATCTGAATAAAGCCAAAAACCAAACTCACCGCCATCGAGTCAATTCCCACTCATAACGGCCTCCTCTGGTTTCTGAGGTGGTAAATCTTTATGGAAGTAGATTGCCCAATCTTCCGTCTGTGGAGTGGCTGGTGGGTTTGAACTGCCAACCTTCTGGTTAGCAGTCAGATGCCTTAGGCACTATGCTACCAGAGCTCCTAAGAGAAGCTGAATTGTTGTTGTTGTTGTTATGTGCTGTCGAGTCAGACCCAACTCATAGTGACCCCTCCTTGAGTTTCCAAGGCAGTATCACTATGGAAGTAGATTGCCCAACCTTCTTTCTGAGGAATGACTGGTGGGTTTGAACCGCCAACCTTCTGGTTAGCAGTGAAGTGCCTTAGGCACTATGCCACCAGAGCTCCCAAGAGAATCTGAATAGTAGCTGTTAAATATGGGCATGCCAGGGTTTGCTGTGGGAAACCCTGCTCCTGCACCTAGAGGGCTATGCCATGGGTGAGGGGATAAGAAACTGAAAAAATAACACTCAGTAGCTCCAATGATCTTCAAGTACCTATTCTCCTCTGGGCCTCAGTTCTTCCACCTGTCAAATGACAAAGAGCTAGATGATCTCTAAGGGTGCTCCCAGCTAGCTCGAGTTCTGATTAGTGAGGCATATCCAACATGATGTGTTCAGGGATGAGTCAGGAAATACTTCCTGCAGGAGATGAGCCTAGAGGCCGAAGAAAAGATCAGTTCAGCAATGGAATCACCAGAATTGGTGTCACCTAGATAGGTAATTCGTGGGGTCACCTCCCCCTGCAGTGATCTTACAGAATCCTTAGTAATGTTTATTATCAATTTTAATCATAGAATGATATGCGGTGAATATAGTTGTAAATTGCTTGTAATTTTTTCTTACATTATATGAATACTAACAACAAAATTATTTTATAAAATCTTTCAACAGTAAATTACAACATTATTAGTAACTGAGCAGAAACCTTTTCTGGTTTTTCTCCTTCTTTTCCTTTAATTACTACTTCATTCCAAAAAAAAAGTTATTGATATAGATCCACAAATACTATTTACCACAATATTGTCCCTAAAATACCAGAAAATTTGACAAAATCAGTAACTGTAAAAACACTGCAGCAATGAAAACAACAGTGCAAGCTTGTAGCGTAGTGCATGCAGACAAACCATGTGATTTGAAGCCCCATTGTAATTGGGTAATAATGACAGCTCTGATGGGGCATCAGAAGGTTCAAAAAGTAAATGAGCAGAGTTTTAGCCTATAGGTGTACTGACCGATAAGTGTGAGCTGGGCTTACAAAAACTGTTTTTGTTGTATAACTTATAGGGATATTTTTATAAAAAATAATAAATTTCCAATCATTTTGGTATCACCACTCTGACAATGTTACCTGGTACAGTCTACACACCCCCACCCTCCTAGTGATGCCACTACAGAGGGATCAACAAGAATGACAGTGTGAAAACCATGTTGAGCCAGTGAGATACTGGGTGAGGTGACTGAGAGGAGAGGAAAGCGTGCATGCAGGAGTTCTGTGGTAAGAGACTTGCCCAGGCAGGATGGGAATAACAGTGCCAAGCTCTGGGATTTGGACCTGTTCCTACAGACAGTGGGATTCATAGCAGGTGCTAGAATAGGGGAATGATGACACGAGCTGTCCTCTCTCTCTTAGGTGCAGACACGTAGCGCTGATGAGCCAATGACTACCTTTGTCTTATGCAATGAATGCGGCAATCGCTGGAAGGTCTGTATGTCTGTATCTTTCTCCCTCCCCCCCAAGTGGTGGTGTTGTTGTGTGCCATTAAGTAGATTCCAACTCATAGTGACCCTATAGGACAAAGTAGAACAGTCCCATAGGATTTTCTAGGCTGTAGTCTTTACAGGAACAGATTGCCAGTTCTTTTATCTTGTGGTTATCAGCTGATAGCTTAACCATTGCACCACTAAGGGTCCTTCTATTCCCCTGCTTAAGGGGTACATATACCCACAGCCCAAAAGGGGCCTCATGAATGGGGAACTTGCCTGCATGCATAGAATAAGTCTGCAGAGCCAGAGAGAGCAGCGAATTTGTTGGTGGGAGAGAAGCAGAAAGAACTCATGAGCATGTTTTAGTTTCCAAGAGGCACCCAGCTGGGGTGAGGGCGGCAGCCCACATGTTATTACAGGATGGGCAAGGCTGCCATTTGAGCACAGATGGAATCAGCTTCCCCAGATCCACAGAGAGGGAAGAAAACAATAGCACTCTGCATTTGGACCACACCTCTTTGCAAAGTGCTTTCACAGATGTATTTCCTTTGAATCTGGCCCCAGACAGGGAAAAGAGACAGGGAGGGCTGAGACAGGTCAGAGGAAGACCTCCCCTTCTAAGGCAGTAACTCAGGTTGCTTCAGCTCCTGCAAAGGCAGAGGTTTCATCTTCAGGCATGGAAGTCACGCAAAGACTCATTCCAGACTGCTCTTCCCTGCCAAACCTGAAAGAACTAGTTGTGGTCATGTGACTGTGTCAGTTTCCAATAGCATTGCATGTGTGTTGTGTGATGTCTGGGCAGCCAGGCAGGCTGCAGGTGCTCCAAATGTTCTAAGGTACTTAGTTAGCAAAAAGCCTAGGAGTTGGCATGGGATGGGAAGTCAGAGACCTGATTTCAGGTTCTCATCCTGCCCTACTTACTGTGTGACCCTCAGCATGTCACTCACCTCTCTGAGCACAAAAGGGTGATGATAATTCCTCTCTTCCAGAATCGATATATGGATTGTCACATACGTACATACACTTTGCAAACAACTATGAGGAATGTTGCTTTTTAACATTACTCTTCACTTTCAGACAGGGAAATTGAACTACAGAAGTAAATAGTGAATATACAGTCACAGAGTTTGGAGCACCGAAAGACAATGCTCCAATCCCTGATTGATTTTTCTATATGATTAAGGGCCTGGATAGCCCTGGAGCCTCATTAGAACTGCCATATTTTTAAAGGTAAAAGCCAAATGATTGTGTGTTTTCCTATATTCACTTATTGAGCACTTAGGAATTGGGTCAATACAGTGGCCCAATGGTTTAAAACAGAGACTTTGAAACCAGACCCAAATCCTAGCTTTACCACTTACAGTGATTTAGCTAAGTGACCCCTAATTCTCTAGGCCTCAGTTTCCTCATCTATAAAATAAACTAAACCAAACCCACTGTTGTAGAGTCGTATCCGATTCATAGCAACCCCTCCTTGGGTTTCCAAGGCAGTATCACTATGAAAGTAAATTGACCAACCTTCCTTCTGAGGAGTGGTCAAACCCACCAGCCTTCTGGTTAGCAGTCAAATGTCTTAGGCACTATGCTACCAGAGCTCCTATAAAATAGAGGTGTTAATGTGTAGCCAATAGAGCTGTTTTGAGGATTCAAGAAGGTAATACATGTAAAGCATTAAGAGGGTCTGATAGCTCATCTGGTCCCTTTGTCAAATTAGAAAAAGGTGTCCCTTCCTCCAGGCAGACAGCCTTGCACAGGGTAGAGACTTTGGCAAGCAGAGCACAGGCTGTTTCAGCCCCAACATGCCCCTCTAGCCAGGCTCCCTTGTTCAGAGAACAAACTATACAACAATACAAAGCAGCTCTGAGTATATACGTGCCTGGAACACAGAAACCACTGATCTTATTGAGTCTGTCACCTACTAGTGTTATGGGAACTTGGGCAAGTCACTTAACCTCTCTGAGCCGTTTCCTTACCTCTAAAAATGGGAGTGATATCTACCTCATAGGGTAATTGTTGTTGTTAGGTGCTGACAAATAGGCTCTGACCCATAGCGATCCTATTTACAACAGGACAAAACACTGCTTGGTCCTGTGCCATACTCACAATCCTTGCTATGCCTGAGCCCATCATTGCAGCCATAGAGTTATTATGAGGATGTTAATACTATCTGGCTCAGTAAGAAAAGCCTCACAGCTCCTGTGATTGTTATTATCCAGAAAAGGGTATTCTGCATGCTAACTCAGTTCTTTCTCCTGATTCCTATCTGTTGGAGAGCCAGGAACCAGTAGTGGTGGCAGCTACACAGCTTCTAACAACATTTTCAGGTAGTGTCCATTACCATGTAGGAAGCCTCAAGTCTAGCTAAGTGATGAGTGATAATTACAATGATGTTCTTGACCATGAATTGAGAGCCCACCAGTGCCTAGCATTGAAATGCCATTAATTTACTACCTTGTATCATTCTCGCGTTAGCTGGCATCATAATCCCCATTTTACAGGTAAATGATTTGTCCAAGGTCACATGGATAATAATGGCAGAGCCAAGGTTTGGACTCCATCTTCTTCATGCTCCCTCACAGTCTCCTTGGGGGGCACAGGGAAATGTCTTAAATTCTACTGGCTTTTTGGTTTTGCAGTTCTGCTGATGGAACCACCAGTGATGATTCTAGAGAACAAGGTGAGGAAGAACCAAGAGGAAGCCCTAAATCATCAGAGCTGATAAAAATAAAAATGAAAATGAAGAAAAATTATGAACTCTGAATGGGGTAATAGGGATCAGAGAGAAAATTCTTTTGCAAATAAATAATTAGTCATTAAAAACTACTGATTAATGGGAGAAGCTAGTGGGATAAAGATGCTAACAGTCATGTTGACAGACCTCTTGTAGAATCTAAGAGACTTCAGACCCTCACAGCTGAGCTGTCAAATCTGTGGCAATGGGATGGCAGACCTCGGCTGTGAATCCCTTCCCTCACATCTAAACCTCTCAGCCTTTTCTTGACTGAAAAATACCAGCCTGACACCATTTTTACCCACCTCACCCCACCCCAGAGTCACCTGTGCAAAGCAGATGGGACATGGGTTTGGCTTAGGCAGACAGGCTTCCATATCATGTAGAAATATTTCTTCCAGGAAGACATACAGGGAAGGTGCAGACAACAAAGATGAACCCTTTTGCACATGCAGTACTGTGTGAAGGCAAACACGGGTGTACGGGTGGATAGATGGGTGGGCAGGCTGAACTATTAGGTATGTCTATGCAGCAGGGAGTGTGCCCAAGACAATGTATAGGGTTGGCAGACAATGGTTCTACAAGTGTATTTGTATGTTCTGTAAGAATTACCAGGTGTATAGTAGAGCTGACAAGGACCACAGTTATAGTCACTTCTTGGTCACAGCCAGCTACCCAAAGGGAGTGAGTAGTTGAACCTGTGGGCTCCGGACCATCATCGCAGGGGCATCAAACTCAATTGGCATAACATACTACACAAAATATTGTTCTACCTCCTACTTTGGTGAGTAGCGACTGGGATCTTAAAAGCTTGCAAGCAGCCATCTAGTTGCAATGATGGGTCTCTCCTCGTCCAGAACAAAGAAGAATGTAGAAAACCAAAGATTCATGGAAACAATTAGTCCTTGTGACTGGTACACCATGTGATCCTCAGCCTATATGACTATGAGACCAGAAGAACTAGATGGTGCCGGCTACCACTGTCAACCACTCGGAGGGGGGATCTATGTAGGAGATCCTGGATAGAGAGGAAGAACAATGTAGAACAAATCTCAAAATCATTTGGAAAAAAAAAGAAGGGGTACCAGGTTTGCTGGTCTGATAGAGCCTGGTGGAACCACTGAGACTATGGCTCCTAGCTGTCCTTCAGGTCTGGAATTGAACCCACACCCGTGGCTTCCAGCCAAACAAAAGACAGGTATATGAGCTGAACATGTATCTGAGGTAGATACACTCCTTAGAGAGAACTATCATGGGAGAAAGAAGGGCTGCTTATGCACAGGGAGACAGCTCAGGGGGCAGGAGTGCATGGAGGGATGGACACAGCGAAGAGGTGGCTATCGGGAGGAAGTAGGAGGGGAGCTATTGCATTGTGGTAAATTGTAGTCAATGTCATGAGACAACGTGTGTGTGTGAACTGCTGTATGGAAAGTGAATTTACTCTGTAAACTTTCACCCAAATCACAATTTAAAAAAAAGAAAGAAAGAAATATTTCTTCCTTGCTCCTTCATCTCTTCCCAAACTCTCTGCTGTCCTCTGTTCAGAGCTGGCTTTGTGGGCACGTTGTGACTCCAGACTTGGTTTCTCCAGGCAGGGAACAGGTTTTTAGAGTGAAGCGTATAGTGGTGCCCTGTGCATCATGGCCCTTTGGGGGTCCTGAGACCCAGAACCTGCCCAAGCCCTAGCAATGTGTTCCTCACATTTAAAACTCCATCTATGACCTGAGCTTTAAAGGAAGTCTGCAGAGCAAAAGAAGCCCTGTCATGTTTCTCCTAGGATGACATTAGCTTGCTTTTTAAACTGACAGGCACTTCAGCCAAAGTTGGAACTTTCCAGAAAAGCCTTGGGAGCAGGCCTGATGGGCCTGTCCAAGAGTCCAGGTCACAGTCTCTGTCTGTCTCTGGGCTTTGAGTAGCCTTAGGCTGAGTCTCCTGGATTCTGTTTCCTAAAATGGCTGAAGTATAGGAGCCTGTGAACTCTTGGGTCCCTTTGTGCAGAGGCTGCTGGGATTCTATCTGCTGTGGTTCACCCTTAGGGCAGTTGTTGGGGTAGCCATCATCCGTTGTTTGTTGTTGTTATGTGCCTTCGAGTCAGACCGACTCATAGCCATCATCTAGTTCCTTTTAAACCACTGGCCTCATCCACTCTGGGTTGGTAATTCCTTTCCTCCCTCCACCTGCTAGGTGCCTCCTCCTGTAGATGAAGCTCCTTTAGAAGGTCCTTTGGAAGAATCTGAAACCCTCTTACAGAAGACATAACACGCACAGCTCATAAACGGCACAACCAGGACAGAAAACCGGATCCTCTGCTTCTTGTCATTGTGCCCAGTGTTCCAAGAGATCCAAAGCTACACAAGACTCAGCCTCTGACTTCAGGAATTCATGACCTGGCAGGGAAATAAGCCAAGGCACAGACTTCCACACCAGGTTGTGGTAAATGCCACATTCAAGATGCAAATATTCCCAGCAGTGCAGAGGAATGTTAAATACCCCCTGCTTCTTAATCTTTAATGTGGGTGGGAATCCCCTGGGGCTCTTGTTGAAATGCAGATTCTTCAGTGAGTGAGGGATGGGGTCTGAGATGTTTCATTTCTAACAAGCTCCGGGGTGATGTGGATGCTGCTGGTCCACAGAACACAGTAGTAAGGGTTCCTCTGCATTACCTAGTTCTCCATTCATTCAGATGTCTGGATCCAAAAGCTAAACAAAATAGCATCCACTATCAGTGTAATAATGTCAGTGTTACCCTTAAACAAACTCACTGCCATCGAGTCATTTCCAACTCATAGTGACCCTTCCTTGGGTTTCTGAGGTGGTACCTCTATGGAAGTAGATTACCCAGTCTTCCTTCCAAGGAGTGGCTGGTGAGTTTGAACCGCCAGCCTTCTGGTTAACAGTCAAATGCCTTAGGCACCATGCCACCAGAGCTCCTTTGGGTGAGTTTATTTAAAGGTGGCCGCCTGGCGCAATTTTCAATAGTCATAGTCTAGTTGTGTGTTCCAGGTGTTCTAGGGATTTAGAGCATAGAAGAAAAAAATGAAGGAAAAGTGAATCTCTGCCCTCAATAACCTTAGTGTTTACAAAGGAGATGAGTCAGATTAAACAGCAAAAGAATAAGCCGGCTCAAGTCCACACATCTACACAGCACACGTGCAAAAAGACACAGAAAAGCATGACTAGGCCACAGATTGTGCTCATCAGCTGGCATCAATACCCTCCAACTGGTCTCCCTGCATCCACTTTGGACCCACTCCAATTCAGGCTTTCTGCAGTGACTAACCTGGATAGGCTTTTCAAAATTGCAGATCTGATCAGTTCCAAGACTAAACATCTTCTGTTTCTTAAGTCCCCTCTTGTCTTTTCTATTTGTCAACTAGTTCATTTCTTAGAACCATCTTTGACCCTTTTCCTTACCCCTTGTTCTGGTTACCTAGTGCCACTCTGACAGGAATGTACCACAAATGGAATGGCCTTAACAGGAGTTTATTCTCTTACAATTTGGGAGGCTAGAAGTCCAAGTTCAAAGTGTCAGGCTCTAGGGGCTGCGCGAAAGCCCCTCAACCTTGGGCTTCAGCTCTGCCTCTTGCTCCCAGCCCACTGAAGCTAGAGGCATCTCTTCACTCAGGCAGCTACTGGCTGCTGAGGCTAACAAGCCCAAGGTTGACAAATAAAATGGCACAGTCCCAATGTTACCAAACCACATGTCAGGCCATTAGTTCAAGTCCATTGAAAGTCCCAAGGTAGGCAGAGCATGGTAGGCTGCTGAATAACGACACTGCTACATGCAGGGTTCAAGCGTGGCATATGCTGGAGACCATTCGCAATGCTGCTGCTTATATATGGGAAGCAGACCACATACCCAAAGGCAGCTACTCAGCTGCTCACAGTAGATTCTACCATGGAGCTGATTACCGGTCTTATCATGGGGAATACTACATTCAGCTGCCCAGCCACTCAACCAGGCTTAGCCAAGTTGACACACAAACTTAACCACCATACCCCTCTTCATCAATAAGCAATTCTACAGTCTCTCTCTCATCTCATCTCCATTGCTATCACTATCTACATTATTTTCCAGGTTTCCTTCCTCTTCCTTGAACTGGTGCAAAAGTCTGCCTTCTACTGGTCTCCCAACTCAAAAGCATTCCCCTACCTTACCTATATCTGCTTGGTAGTGCTCTGAGCATATCATTCCTCCAGTCACGTTCAGTGGATTTCCACCAGGTATCAAATAAAATCAAAACTCTGGTTTGACTTTCAAAGGTCCCCTCTACTATCTTGGGTGACTTATGTCCCACTCCTCCTGCCCCTTCTGCTCCAGCCTAAGAGAGGTCTTTGCTCTGTTCTTGAATACAGTCTGGACCTTTCCACCTGTAACTCTCTATTCTGTTTCCGCCTCCTGAGCTGTTCTTCTCCACCCCGTCAAAGTCTTACCCATTGTTCAAGCCTCAACTCAGATGCACGTCCTCTATGAAGGCTTCTGTGGGCACACGATGGTTCCTCAGAACTCACACAGCGCTATGAAATTGTCACAACATGCCCTGTATTCCACTGTGATGATAATGATGGGGATGATTTCTTTAAAATGTCTTTGTATGGAAGGGTCAGTAATAATTGTTAATCATTGAGCACTTACTAGTTGGATATCTTGGGCACCTTATATAACTTCTCCATGCTGTATTTCTTATATGTCAAAGGATGGTTATAATAGCACCTAGTTGAAAGAGTTGTTGAGAATTCATTAAGTTAATACAGGAAGGCACTTAGACTCATGCCTGACACATAGTGACAGCTATAGTTACTACTCTGAGTGTAGGGGAGTACATTATATTGGTATCTCAACTGATCCTCTGATCCTATGAACTAATTACTAGTAGTATACCCTTTTTACAGACTAAGATCAAGGTTCAGAGAGTAATTCACTTCTAGGAGACAGAACCTGAATCTGAACTCAGGCCCCCATCATGTTCTGGGAGCACCTGTGATGTGCTTTACCTCTCCTTATAATAATTAGTGATGGTCACTGTGTGCCAAGCCCCTCCTCTGCTCAGCAGGACAATGCATTATGTAGCCATTCTCACACTTAATCCTTACAGCAGCCGTGTAGTAATTGTGAGGAGCGGTGTTCTATCTCTCAGCTCAGATTCTGGTATGGAAGAGGGGCACAGTAAACATGTTCAGCCTATTTGTTGTCCTAAAAGCAAGCTAAACAATACTAAATAAGTCTGTTGCACATTTTTAATGTAACTGTTTACTTTTTTTTTTTTTTTTTGAAAGTGTTAATTCTCTTTGGAGAAAACCAACTGAAATGCAGGAGGACAAAGAGAGCCTCCCAATGCTCTCCACTCCCTCCTCCTTTTTTGGAGTCAATCTGCCCTTCTCACCTCAGGCCAGACCTCAGGCCTCCTCCCCTCTGTACTTCATCACTAGCTTTGCTGATGTACAGCCAAAGGCAGAGACATCCAGGCAAGCAGGTGAGGAGACTTAAGAGACTGTCCTGGCTCTGCTTCCTCTGCCTGTTGCTCCACCCCCACATTCTTCCCTCAAGCCATACTCAATCCTGACCTTTCTGGAACATGCTCTGTCCTTTCACGCCTCCGTGCCTTTGCACATGCTGTTCTCAAAGTCTGGAATTCTCTCCCTCCCACTTTCTCTGCCTTGCAAACTCCTACACACTCTTATCAAGCCAGCTCAGATGTCACCTCCTCTGTGAAGTCTCCCCTTCGCCCCCTAGCTATGAGCCTTCCCCCTCCTCAGTGCAAACTAGCTAGTTCATCCCCGTACTTTGGGCCTTGGAGTGCAATGACTGCTTGGAAGTTGGTGTGTCCTCCCTGCCCCCAACTCTCCTTCTGCAGTGATGAGCTTTCCTCCCCACTCCTAGCAGGGCCTCTCAGAGATCAAGAGAAGCCAGGGCACTTCACTTTTTTGAGGACCCTAGTACATTTGAAAATGAAGAGATGACATAACAGTATTACAACAACTGAGGCATACTTTTAAATGTTTAACAAACTAAAGCATCTAACACAAAAATTATGACATAATTGTGCTATTCACAAGATAATGATAAGATTTATTAAAATACAATCATTTATAGTGCTCTACAGTGGTCTGGCAATGGGACACAAGCTTAAGGATCTACAAGGAGGGTCTTCAATCAAATCAGTCAGTGGATCTGATAAAATGTCAAAAGCCTAAATTAGAGACCAAATGGCTTTCTTGACTTTTCTCCAGTTACAGGCTCTTTTGTGACCTCTGCACATAGTAGGTGCTTGTTGTTTGCTGAACGATGGAACTAAGTACAGCTTCAAAAGTTGGTTATTTAAGACCCACAAACAGTAAGTTATTCCTGAGAAACATTGACATCATGAACAATGGAGCAGGAAGCCACCTCCTCCAGTGACCCCAACCCCCAGAGTCCAGCTGAAGGCTGCAACAGGAAGCCCCTCAGCCACTGTCTTTCCTCCCCCTCTTCCCCCTAGGGGCTCTAAGTGCAGTCATGCTTTCCATCCGCTCCCATTCTCTCTTCTCCACCCTCTGGAGGGTCTCAGGTGAAGAAGGAGAAAAGCACTTACTCACAGAAGGCAGCAAGCGGCCAAGCCAGGGCTTGAAGAAGAGTCATCTTGCCCCCAGGCAAGCTTGAAGGATTAAAGAAAAGGTGAGAGGACAAAGAAGGGCTTAAAGTGCTGGAGCAAGGGGGAAGAAAAGGCCTAAGAAAGTTTACAAAGCGATTGTTAGAGAAGTGATGAAAAAGGGAGCCCCAGTGGGCTGAAGGACTCAGGTCCTCACCTCCACCTTAAGTCTAGTTAGAAACCTGCAATTAGTAAACCAAAATCTGAGACAATCCTCCCCCTTATTCCTAGGAGATTGGTTATTAACCCCTGACCTGGAGGCTTCCTTGAGCCTGAGGCCCCAAGTACCTCTGCTCTACTGGTTTTACAAACTTGGCCCAGAAGAAACAATGTGAGGATAAGGTCACCAGCAGATCCTCACAGCTATGGAGCGCGCTAACTTCCCAGATTTTCTGAGCCAGTGAATACACCTGTAGGGTTTTCTGGAAGTCTCCCTTGCCACCAAAAGCAGGATTAACAGCTCTCATCGGTGCTCATTCTGTGTGTAGTGCTTTAAGTCATCTCACTCAGTCCTCACCACCATGGTAGTTGTACTTATCCCCATTTTTACAGAAAAGGAAATGGGCCTGGAGAGATTAAATGACTTTCCAAGGGATGTACTGTCTGGATTCCAACCCCAGTCTGACTTTGAGGCCCATGGGAAACTGTCTCTTGGGGGCCCTCCAATATTCCATTTTTGTAATGCCCAGGTCAATTTTAGATGGGGAGAATGGTACAATTCCAGGGCATCTAAAAAAATTTTAGTCCCTCAGTTGGGGGAAGGAATGCAGAAGCGGTATAGGCATGGGGGAGTCTGTCTTGTGGCTGGTGAGAGTACTAGTACTTGTTAAATATTTGAGTAATTTAATTATAAATAACTGGGCATTGGGAACAGAACACCAATCAAAGCAAGACCTGGAGTCATGTTTGAAACAAAAATAATTCGAGTCACTCAGTGGGTGGATGTATCTGCAAAACAAAAGAAAAGCCCCCTTCCCAGACCAGGCAGAGAAGTCTCCTGTACTGTTAAGAGACAACAGGCTTCCGGGCACGTAGCCAAGGTTCTGGGGATATTTATAACTTGAAGAGGGTGGGAGTCCCTAATAAGCTGCTATATTCTTTTTCCACCACTTCCCTCTCCAAGGCTACAGCGAGTTTGGAGCTCTTACTCACGCAGAATGCCTCCTTTCCCTAGTGCTCGGCTTCCATTGTCTAATTCTCTCATCTCAGCTGGGGAAAGGGAAGGCCGCAAGTCCTTCCGTTCACGCGAACTTTAGCTGTTGGTGGTGTTTTTTCGCCAGCTGTTGTGGTCTCAGGGATCTGCCTACAAGCCTGTGGTTTCTTTGGGCTTCCTCAAAGTCTGAGGTCTCGGGAATCTGCAAGTCTTTGGGATTAGGCTAAAATCCCTGAACGTTCTTTGCCTGCAAATCGAAGGATTCGCGATCTACCTGCTTATGTGAGCTCTCTGGGATCAGCCTGTGGTCTCTAGTATCTCTCCGGACGCCCGAGGTCTCAGTGAAATCTGCTTGCAGCTCTGGGATCTATTTGAGGCCTCTTGGATCTTAAAACTGTAGATTTACTAGATCTCTTGTGGGCCCTAGAGGTAAGTCTGTTCGTTCCCAACTAGGGTTTTCTGCTTCCTACCTTCAGCCGAACAGGGGCGGTCCCTCAGGTCTCAGGCTCTCAAAGGCCCTTTGGTGCTGGAGGCCGCCAGAAACAATTTTAGCAGGGAAACCCTACAGGAGAAGGATGGCCCTGTCCTGCCATCTGGCTCTCTTCTCTCTGCATACCTCTCCCCCCACCCTCAGCTTCTGATTCGCCTCAGAGTTTTCGCTTTCCCTCTGCTGATCACGACTCCGACCGTCCCTCAAGGGGCGCCCTCCTCAGAAAGACGCGGTTAGCCGCCTCGACAGGGTTAACAGCGACGGCGTCCGGACCCGGGCCTGGACGCCGGTTGTCCAAGAGAGCCGGACACTTGGAGCAGCGCCTGTTGGGAGTTGTAGTGTGCGTAGCAGGGTAAGAGTGCCGCAGGCGCTGCCGGGAGATTGTAGTGCGTGGGCGGGGCTCAAAGTTCCAGCGCGGCCACCGAGTCTCCCCCAGAGAGTTGACGGATGCCGCTTTCCTAATACACTTGTGTTGTCAAATGAAGGCCAGTCCCAGCAGAGCTCAACTCTGGCTGGCATCTATATGGAGTCCGGTGTCGCAGTTAAGGTCTGACTCAAAATCTAGGGACGAGAAGAGAGGCAGAGCACCTTTCTCGGCTTAGTGGAACCGGAAGTCTCCAAGAGAAGAAAGCGAAAGATACTCCGCGCTGCCTAAGAGGATGTGTTTTTTTCACCCTTTTGTTCCTTTCCCTCCTCGGATTTTGGCCTCTGACTGGCTTTTGTACGCCAGAATGGAACTCCAACTCCCGGCAGCCCACGGGGGCAGGCGCAGGCGTGATAGTTGTACTCGACTACGCTCCAGGAGGCGGGCCTAGTGTCCGACATCTAATTGGCAGAGCAGTCGGGGAGCATCACTCTTTGATTGGCTGATCCAGCTGCCGGAAAGGGCCTGCCTCGAGATGGAAGAGCGGAGGCGTTCTGTGGGTTGGGCTGAGAGCCTCCTCACTGAGACAGCATCGTCCTGACCCCGGTCCGGGGAAGGACCGCGCTAGGGGGCTGCCTGCTTGGATTCCGGCAGTGCCTCCACCCCTTGGTGGCGGAGACGCAGAGGGCGGGTTTCGCTCTAGAGTTGGGGAGGAGAGTGACCCGGCCCCGGTGGAAGGCCCTCCCTCCCCGCTCGCCTTGCGGCCAAAACTCCAGCCCTGGGGAGTGGGCAGGGCCTGTTTTCCGTGCCTCACGCCCTGCTTTTCGCCTCCTTCAGCGCTGTCTGCTCGCTCGCTGCTTTTCCTGCTCCCTCTCCGGGAAGGAGAACCCTTGCGCCCGAGATGGCAGCCACCTTGCTCATGGCTGGGTCCCAGGTAAGCCGGGGGTGGCTTCTCGGACCCTGCCTCTGCATATCCAATCTCGTCCTGGCGTTTCTCTGCTCTGCAAACCCCTATGGGAATTCCGTGGGATTGGTAATTCCCTCGCTTAGGTTTTCTGCCTTCAGAGGCCTAGTACCAGGCCAATATAGCCACAAACAGGCATTTATTGAGTACCTGCTGTATGCCTTAAAATACTGAGGAGACAAAAGATGAATGAGGCAGGTCCTCCCCTCCTGCCCACAATCTGTAGGGAACACATGCATTCGGTTAACAGTGATACAGCATGGTAAGTGCTCCACTCGGGGTAGGACAAAGTACTATGGAGAGTGCCAAGATGTGAGAGTAATTAGTTTTTGTCTGGGGGGCTCTGAGGGAGAAGTAGAATGGAAGGGCAGGGTGGGTCATTAAGAACAGTTGGCATTGATGCAGAGCCATGAAGAATAGTAGAATGTCACTACTGAGAAAGATATTCCCGGAAAAGAGAAACACTGTGAGTAAAGGTGTGGAGCGTTTTAAGTGCTGGATACATTCTGAGAAAGGTATGGCTAGAGGATGGCTGTGTTGGGGCAGGGATGTCTGGCCATGGGACTGGAACAATCAGTTCATAAACTGCTTTCCTTTTAAACTTCTGCTTGCTTCCACAACATTTCTAGCCATATTTCTAATTTCAAGATTAACTGGTACTAGCTACCGAGTAGTGAGGAAGCATTTGTCTCATTTCAGGCACCTGTCACATTTGAAGATATGGCCATGTACCTCACACGGGAAGAATGGAGACCTCTGGACCCTACACAAAGGGACCTTTACAGAGATGTTATGCAGGAAAACTATGGAAATGTTGTCTCATTAGGTAAGGATTCTACTTTTCTTCACCCTCAGGTTTTTGAGATGGTGTCAAAAAGTCTTTGCTCTTTCAACACAACCTAGTTGCTTGATTTTTAAAGCACTTCATTGGATTTTGGCTTGGATTGAGTCCTCAGGCAAATATTTGAATGTGGGAACATCCAGATCATATAGTCCCAAAACAAAGAATATTTCTGCACATTTTAAAACTGTTCAGATTTCTTGTGCCCTGAGTCATTTGCCATTCTTCAGCCTGTTTGTACAGATCACTGACCAAACAGGTCTGACATAATGATGCTTGCCAGGATATAAATGCCCTGTAAAAGGTGCTTTTACTCAGAGGCACTAGGAGATGAGGGGGTCTGATCCGGGTTCATGGGAGGGCAAAAGCCACCTTCTTGTGTTTGTTTTGGCTTCAGATCCCTAACTGTGCCTTAGGCCCTTTATTATCTGGAGTAGGTCCTTGTCTAGAGATGTTTCAGAGTTTATAGATTTCAGTTGTGTTGGATGTTTGTTGTTACAGGAGAATCTTGAACTAAATGAGATCACAGATTCTACTAAGAGAGGGAAGCTAATTTTTTGATGGTCTGCAAACCTATCCTTTGGTCTTAATGTAACTAGAATATTAATATATTCTCAAGCTGAACAGTCTTTTGACTCATTTTGTCTCCTGTTAATACATGACAGAAGTTTACAACAGTTCACTAGGTCATCTACCACTTATTAGGACTAATCTTTTTTTAAAATCTTCATTCCCATAACCTTTTCTAGAACAAAAGGTTTCCTTAAGTGTTTTGCCCAAATAATTTTAGGAGTAGGTAAATAATGTTTACCAGGTTTCTTTACCTGAAAACTCCTCAAAATCTTTAATGTGTTAGAAGGCATTATGAATTTCTATAGAGAGAATGTTGTATGTACCTTTACCAAATTAATTTGTCCAAGGAACCTTTTTCCTAACATACCTAGTAACTTCTTTCTGAAGAGTATATTATGAAAAAAAAATTGGGAAAATATAGTGTCTAATAGAAAGTTTCTTTGGGGCAGTGGTTGTATGTTTTGATTTTATTTGAAGACTGTATATGAAACATAGTCATTGCCAAGAATGTTCTGAGACAGGCATCTCTTGTTTTCTTTAACCTTCTCACCTCTAACTTCATTAATAAGCCACTGGAAAATAACAAGTGATACACAGCAGTCACTTTTCTGTCATCTGACACATGACATAAAGATAAAATTTGCTTTCTTTATGCTAACTTAGTAGGTTCTTACTAAATATTATATAATGGTAATTATGAAGGCTTGACATGTTAAATATAATACATATGTTAGATTTATTAAATACATATATTTTATTAGAATATGCACAAATGTACATAAAAACATCTTGATCCTTGGCTTTTAGAGTGTTTTATTTTCTGTTTCTGGTTGTTTTCTTCTTTCAAAAGACCTGAAATATATATAATTTTTTAAAGAAAATGTTAACTGTAGTGTTACACAGCACAGACTTTTATCAAACAGACCTGAGTTTTAATCCTGGCTCTACCATTTACTGCTGTATAACTTAGGGCAAGTCACTTCCCTTCTCTGGGTCTTGGATTTTTCACTGGTAATGTAGAGATCATTATAATGCCTGACTCCTAGGATGGCTGTGATGATGAATAAAGTAAACTTAGCACAGTGCCTGGTACTCAGTAGAAAATAATTTTTCTGTGCTTTTACCTGTATTACTATTATTTATGCTTTATTACAGATTTTGAGATCAGGAGTGAAAGTGAAGTGAATCCAAAGCAAGAAATTAGTGAGGATGTGGAATTTGGGACCACATCTGAAAGACCTGTCGGGAATGCTGAGGAAAATCCTGAAAGTGAAGAGGCCTTTGAAAATGGAGATAGATCAGAAAGACAGTGGGGAGATTTAACAGCAGAAGAGTGGGTGAGCTACCCTCTCCAACAAGTCACTGATTTGCTTGTCCACAAAGAAGTGCACACAGGCATCCGATATCATATATGCTCTCATTGTGGAAAGGCCTTCAGTCAGATATCAGATCTTAATCGACATCAGAAAACCCACACTGGAGATAGGCCCTATAAGTGTTATGAATGTGGAAAGGGCTTCAGTCGGAGCTCACACCTTATTCAGCATCAAAGAACACACACTGGGGAGAGGCCGTATGATTGTAATGAGTGTGGAAAAAGCTTTGGAAGAAGCTCTCATCTCATTCAGCATCAGACAATACACACTGGAGAGAAGCCTCACAAATGTAATGAGTGTGGGAAAAGTTTTTGCCGGCTCTCTCATCTAATTCAGCATCAAAGGACCCACAGTGGGGAGAAACCCTATGAATGTGAGGAGTGTGGGAAAAGCTTCAGCCGAAGCTCTCACCTGGCTCAGCATCAGAGGACCCACACTGGTGAGAAGCCTTATGAGTGTAATGAATGTGGGCGAGGCTTCAGTGAGAGATCTGATCTCATCAAACACTATCGAGTTCACACAGGGGAGAGGCCCTACAAATGTGATGAGTGTGGGAAAAATTTCAGTCAAAACTCTGACCTTGTGCGCCATCGCAGGGCACACACAGGAGAAAAGCCATACCACTGTAATGAATGTGGGGAGAATTTCAGCCGCATCTCACACTTGGTTCAGCACCAGAGAACCCACACTGGGGAGAAGCCATATGAATGCAATGCTTGTGGGAAAAGCTTCAGCCGGAGTTCCCACCTCATTACACACCAGAAAATTCACACTGGAGAGAAGCCCTATGAATGCAATGAGTGTTGGCGAAGTTTTGGTGAAAGGTCAGATCTGATTAAACACCAGAGAACCCACACAGGAGAGAAGCCCTATGAGTGTGTGCAGTGTGGGAAAGGTTTCACCCAGAGTTCCAACCTCATCACACATCAGAGGGTTCATACAGGAGAGAAGCCTTATGAATGTACCGAATGTGAAAAGAGTTTCAGCCGTAGTTCAGCTCTTATTAAACATAAGAGAGTTCACACTGATTAAGTCCTGTAATTATGGTGACTGAAGTTACACAGTTCAAGATCAATTTGATACCAGTGAGCTCCTTCAAGACTGAGGTTTTTTAACCCTATTGAATTTTCTAGTTGTGAATCACAATTTAAAACATCAGAAAAGACAAGCCATTTGGAATTTGACCCACAGCTTTGGAAATGTTACTCCTTCCCCCAAAACAGTGATTTTTATTCACTCAACATTAATGAGTTACTTCAACAAAATCAGCCCCACAAATAGCTGGAAATCTGCATCAACAGTGGTTAATGCTTAGGCCTGGAAATGGAGTAAATCTTTAAAAGTTATTTCTCCCATCCTTTGGCCCAAGGAACTATGCTAGGGGAAATGTGGGACTGTAATAGGGTGGCTATGGCTACTTTGGGACTGTGCCTGGATTGCCACACCTATTCACACACCATAGTAGTTAGGCACATGCATCTTCCCCCTCCAAAGGGCTTTTTCTTTGAGTTACTCATGTATTTGTATTTTTTTGTCTTCCTGGGAGTAGGATTCTGCACGATGAAGGCAATGATCATAACTTTTTCTTGTCATTATTTCTATTTAAACTTGAAAGCTTGCATCTTTATGAAAGCTAACTGAAGATACAGATTGAAAGGAAAAATGATACATAGGTTTGGGGACGAAGGACCCATCAATGGTGGTGACTTTAGCAAGAGAGGCCCACTGTTGTTACTGGCATTTATTTGGGGAACATTGTAGGGAAAATATCTTCAAGAAAAGATAAGATGATGGAGTGATGGTGGAGTGTAAGGAGCAAGTGGAATTGACCAAGGAAGGAAGCACAGAGTCCTTTCCCAAGGAATGCAGGTCATTTCTGTGTTCTTTCCCCTCTACCTGTTGAGATCAGTTCTCTCTCCTGTTAATGCTAGGATTTGATAAGGGCCACATCCCAATGTTTATCTTAACTTGTGTAAGGACATGTATATATACAATGAAACGTGTATTCTTGTGGTTTTTACAATAGCTGAAACTGCCGGTCACACAGGTTTAGCATGTTCTTGGGTGATTTTGATCATGTGACAGAACTATAGACATAAATCCAATGTGACAAATGTTCTTTTCCCCTTATTTATGAAAAATGTCAACACTAGTGTTCTAGTGTGCATCCTCCTGTAAGATCTGTCTTTGTACAGAACTAAGCACTTGTTTATATGTATCAGTAATTGTGGAAGATAATGACCATCCAAATTGGGTTGACTGTCCTATTCTCAGAGTGAATTATCTTCATTGGCAATGAAGAATGCTTTCACCTATCAGAAGGAATTAATAAACCTAAATAGGAATGTATTTCCATACTCCAACTCTGCAAATACAAGTAGTTAAAATAAGAGTTGACCAGTAGTGTCAGTTCTCTGTATCTCAGCCTGAGGAGGAATTAAGAAATACCCCAAATGTTGATGCATATTCAACCATTTGGAAGTGGGAATGAGAGGGAATTGGTGGTATCCAGGAGATGGGACTGGAGTAAGAGATGTTTTCTTTTGAGAGTGCCCTAGGTTATTTCTACTATGCTTTATTGTGAATGTTTAACATTATAAAAGATACTTCTGCCATAGCTCTTTGGGACTTGGTGTTAAAAGTGCCAGTGTTCTCTCTTCAGTAGTGTATTATAGTGAGTTACTGTGACCCACAGCTGTGTGGAACTGCATGCATGCAAGTGACAAACTCAAAAGTAACAAAAATGAAGAACCACTCCACCAAGAGGGTTTCTTTGTGTTGCCACTTCTATTTGAATACAAACTCCAATAGGGAGCATGTCTTTTGTTCTATACAAAGCCTAGCAGACTGTGGGTGTTCATGTTTTAATTGTTGAGTGACTTATATGTTCTTGGTAATTGAAATCAAATATGTTTTTTTTCCCATTATCAGTGTTGCTGATGATTATCATGAATATCAAAGTTCTCTGTTACTTCTGTGACTCACTACTGGCATCAGCTTGGAAGTGGCCATAGAAGACAGCATCTCCATGACTTTGCTGTATTTCCTTTTCCTTTCCTACTCTCCTTGCCCCACCCCAACTTGTTCCTGCTGCTGCTTTTGGCTTCTTAGAGGTGAAGGGCTTAAAAAAAAAAAAAAAAAAATACTCTTTAGTGCCCTAGCCATCTCTCTACAGATGGACACTCCAGCTGGGAAGTTCAGAGGGTCAGACCAGCTCTGTCTCCTCCCTTTTTGCCAGTTGCTGCCCCTTTGGTATGTTGAATGAACTTTGCATAGAAGTTATGCTTCTGACTCTCTTTGCTAATGCTTTTTGCATGCATTCTGCTCCCAAGACCCTGCCTGCTTCTGCACATATCTTGAATGCTTTGTGCCTGTTTTCTATGGTTGTGGAGAGTGAGTGAACAAGTATGTCGAGCAGTTTTCCTTATAGTATTGGCTACAGTTAACCTAATGTTTATCTACATCTGTATTATTCTAATTATATTCTAGAATTAAAAGTATAATTTTTAAAATCAAAAAACTTTGAGAATCATTTTAGTAATCCAGCACTGATTCCTGTAACAGCTTTTCATCAGATTTGTTAAAATTGGGTACAGCTATCTTTGTGTTGATGTATTTGTACAGATGTTCTTGTGGGAAATTGGGAGGACTGTGTCTTCACACATTGGTGAGCCTTCACCAAGATCTGACACCCTGTCTTGGAAAGGTGCAGAAACCTGGACAGTTTCCTGTAAAGGTTATGCTGGTGGCAAAAGCAACATGGAAATATATGGTATTGGTGACTGATTATACTTGGAATAAAACCACCACATCCAAATGGAAAAGTGAGAGGAGGCATTGTTGCTATAAGGAGATATTTTGGGATATTGGTTAAGAATACTAAAAATTTCTGTTGAACTAGAATTGAGAGTCCTCAGAACAGAGATACTTAGAAATAGTCAACAGCTTTCTAGCTGCATAGTCTGCCTAAGGCAGTGATTATGTTAACAGGGTGTGGTCATGATTTTCAAATTACTTACAAGTTAATTTTTTTTTCAAAAGTTTTTTTAAAAAATGAGGGGCTAGCCTAGGCAGAGCTGAAGAATGGAAATGCATTAAATTGTGGGTAACATACAAATATGAAAAAGAAAAATTTTAATTTTAAAAAAGATAGTTGATTTAGAAAGGAAAGTTAAGGGGAAAGGAAAGTTAAGGGAAAATGTTAGTTACCTGGAGAAATGTAGCTCCAGAGCCTTCCCTCTAAAGGCACTTCATATGTTAATATTTTACCATTATTATTGTTATTAAAGCACATTTCCTCAGTGTAAAGTGTTCTCTGGGAGTTTAGGTTAGAGCTGTGCTTCCAGGCCATTAGGACACCACTGAAATGATAATTTGCTAAATGGCTCCCTAGTGTTTCGAAGGTTAGTGTTGCTGGCAAAGAAGTTCCTATGCTCTGGGAGGAATGGACTTCACTTCCTCTTTGTTAGATACCCACCTCTGCAGTAAAGTGGCCAACATGAGCCCTGCTTATTCTATAGAAGACTTCAAAGATTGCAAAACAACAATAGTTAAGGTACCAGTTAAAAACAAATGAGAAAATTAATAGAAAAAAAATAATCCTGTAATAATGACCTAAAATGGTTTTGTGGCAAATCCCATTGTATTAGCTGTTTTCCTAAATGCTTCATTTTCAATGTTTGTGTCATTTTTAACTTTTCCAAAAAGTTTTTTTTTTCCCCCTTCCTGGGAGAGATTGGAGCTGTTGACACCAAAATCTTACTTTGAGTTTCACACCAGATCCTGCAGCTGTCTTCCAGTCATCTCCACTTGGAAATTACCTGAATAATTCAAACTCCAAACTTCCCACTTGCTTCTATCACCCCTGTCTCCTTCTCCTGTGTTTCCTAACTCAGTCACTGCCCAGTTATCCAAACTAGAATTGCATAGCATCCTTGACAAGCTCCTATTCCTTCAACCACCTTCCCAAAATCAATAATGAATAATAGTTGAATAATTAGTCATCCATTTGTGTCCATACAAAAACCAAAAACCCATTGCTGCTGAGTTGATTGCGACTCATAGTGAGTGATCCTATAGAACCCATAGGGTTTCCAAGGCTGTAAATCTTTATGGAAACAGACTGCCACACCTTTCTCCCATGGAGCAGCTGGTGGGTTCAAACTGCTGACTTTTTGATTAGCAGCTGATCAGTTAACTACTGGGCCTACCACCTCCCAGATATTTCTCAAATATGCCTACTCTTTCTCCGGTGCCACCATTTTTCCACATGACTTAAGGAAGTTAGTTTTTCTGTTTCTTGGATTCCTCATCTGTAAAATGAGGGTAATTATGTTGATCTTACGGAATTGTAAAGATTAAATGAAACTACGGGACTCAAAAGACTAGCTGCAATTATTCAGACCAGCACCAAGTCACATACTGATTATAGAAACAACCTTATAATGAGTCTCCTTCAGTTTATTCTCCCTTGCTGCAGCTAGGACAATCTTTCTCAAGGGCAACTCCCTTCATGCTATTCTTGCAAAACCCTCTCATGCTTCTCATAGCCCGTAGCATGCAGTGAAACTCCTTCAGTGGATTTATGAGGAAGTCATCTGTAACTGGCCTCTGCTGCCCTCTCCAGCTTCAGTTCTTCACTCTCCCTGCACTTGCAACTTTCTATGATGCATTTCTTGCAGCTTCTAGAATGTTCTGTCTTCTGAGTTCATACGCTTTTCTCTGCCTTTTTTTTTTTTTCCTCTCCACTTTCTGATCAACTCTGACTCATCCTTCATGTGTCAAATTTAACTTTTTTTTTTTTTTAAAGAAACCTTTCCTGACCCCATAAGACAGTATCAGGTGTTCATTTTCTATGTTTCCTGAGTATCCCAATCAAAGCAGTTATCCCTGTTTTGTTTGCCTGTTTACTTTTCAGTTTCCTCCACTAAACTTTAACATCCTTTAAGAAGTCACTGTGTCTTGCTCACGATTTTATCTTTAGCCCCTAGTGAATCTTTAACCTGGAGTAGGTAGACAATAAATAAACTTCT